CAGACTTAGTTCAGCCATATAATAAACCGATTATTGTCCTCGCTTGTTCGGTCTGTACTGTGAAATATAAGACCTCTGTTTTTTGCATGGACCTCGCTCCTTCGTCGCTTGGTCATACTAAAAAACCTCGGTCTGATATTTCACAGTACAGACCTCACGCTCGGTCAATAACCCTTTAGTATTGTGCCACATTTTGTTTAATAATCGTTTACCAACTGACCTACAGGTTCAGATAATCTATTTTCAACAATTTGTGTCCATTGTTGAATTCCATCGAATATAAAGTCTTCGGAACCTAATGCGACAACTGCAAGAGAAAAAAGTAAGTAATTGCATGCCTTTCTAAATTCAATGCCAGTTAAATGGGGGTGGATGATAGCTTTCTTAAATTAACTAAAAATATGATATATAACATGCAGTTTTAAAAAAAAGTGTAAATTGTAAATATATTTCAGACTTTAAAGAAATTAGTTATTAAAATCTACAGAATGCTCCATTGGGAGTGCTACCCCCCCAATATTAGCTATAACCCCCCCTAAACAAAATGTCCACCCCTCCAAAAACATTTCAACCCTCCCCCCAATATTCGGCATAATAAATAAATACTTAAATATTCCACTCCAACGGGCAGAGTGTTGATGACACAAAATAAACGTAGGAGTACACTCGAACAGAAAAAGACAGTGCAACAGTAGTTGCTCGTCGCTTGCATTCACTGGTTTATTGGAGTAATTGTAAAGTTTTGAACCTCTATTATCTGCCCTGAATATATAGAGTTTGCAGTGCCTTGTCATGCGAATAGCTTGCACGCAAGGAACGTTTGGAATTTTTACGAACATTATTTTTAGTTTTTAATTCTTTTAGGAAATAGACTTGCGTAGATTTAATCTTTACGCTCCAAATATTATTTACCTCGGATTCAGGAGACTGTTTTATGCGAATAATTATCACGTTCGTTGCAATGGTTGCGTGATGACGTTTCTACTTTCTAGGCAGGTTGATGACGTTGCTACACTGTTGTTTGTACAATAACAACCTAATTATCATCATATAAAGTGTAGTGCACTAGTGCCACCTGCGCAAGCTGATAACGCGCAAAATACCGTATGCTGTATATCAATTATGCACAGTACAGTATGGTAGCTCATAGTAGTTCAAGTTGCATCATACATTGTACTCGGATTCAAACAACACAATGTCAATGACTTTAATTATAAAAGTTAAAATCATATTGTGTATTGGGTTTACAATTTTACAGGTTCATTTAACTTTAAGTCTTTAACTCTCTCAAGTCTCAACAAACAATCGGACATGCCAAATCCATGGATATGACAACTTCAAAAAACTTTTTTTCGAAGCTAGAAATCATGATTTTTTTCAAATTATTCCTGGGATACTTTGTTTTCTGCTCTCTAGACTCCCCCTCGCGGCTCAGTGCTCCACCCCTAGAATATAGACCTTACTTGGGTTTGATGACACTTTGTGTTGCTTCAGTCACCTGCTCACGGCTCACCCCCTAAAATTTCTGGCACCACCAAAGTTAAAAATATGAAAATCCGTCTATGGAATGCTCTCTCTTGATTGGCTCTACCGCACTTACCGCTCTAGCCATGAAAACTCTTGGCTAGGCCTTCTGATGCAAAATTGCATAAACTTATAAAATTAATGTACTAACTTTTTGAAAATACTTGAATAAATAGCGAATACCCATCTCCGTTTGCGAGTCCCAATCTTTGTTTAATACTGCATTCGATATCTTTCACTTTCGTACGAGCATTGACATCAAAATTCTGGAAGGAAATGACAAAATATACAGCATATAGAATGTGGTAAGAATGGCAAGTGGAACCACACAGAACCCAGACAAAGAGATTTCTACTCTACACAATTAATATATACTCTATACCCTTGACGCCTAAACGCGTCTCACGTCATTGGCAAAGTACAATGAATAAAATAATCCATATATTATTCATAAAAGCATATAATTGAAAAACCACTTAATTAGCCTTTCTCACGCCGCCATTTTTGGGTGGCATTTCCACCGAAGTCTGCGAGATAAGTCCACATAACAGCGACTTTTTATAATTTTTTGGACGAATGATGGTAAATGTGCTTTATAAATGGTTATTTTATTTTGAAAAATTGCTTTTCACATTGTTTTAATTATCTACATTGGTTAACGAGAATTAGATGCCACCCAAAAATGGCGGATATTCGTCATCGTGAGAAAGGCTAATTGGTTAACCAGTCAAGGAGCAACAGGTTTTCCTTGATACGTAAAATGGTTAGACAAAGAATAAAATAA